AGGGTACAGTGGTGAGCAAGACAGACAGGTCCCTGTGTTCCTGAAGGAACCATTTTATGGAAGAGGACAATCAGTGAGCAACTAAATAACAATAAAAGGTATGTATCAGAGCAATAAAAATTAAACAGGGCAATGTGATACAAAGTGACTATGGGAGATAAGGTAGTGAAAGGAGGAGGGCTCTTCTGGGGCGATGACTTGCATGACAAGAAGGAGTTAAGCTAGAGACCTTCTCATCTTGGATATGGAGCTAGGTTCTGGGAGGGAAGTCCTCATGAAGAGGGGACTTCCAAGGTCCTACTCTGGGCCATCATAGACAAGTGGATGTAGCAGGAATGAGGGTTGTGAGGTAAGGGTTGCTCAGAGCCCAAAGTCAGAAAGACTTGCTAAATTTGAGTTTCTGGAAAGAGGCAGGAGAGCAAATAAGCTTTTAGCACTGGAAAGGGAATTTTTTTCCTTCTAGGTACTTTTTAAGTTTAAACAGTTTAAAAATAACTTCATTGAGATATAATTTAGATAGAATAAAATTCACTGATTCTCAGCATACAGGTTAATGAGTCTTGAGAAACATAGACCCCTGTGTTAAATATTGCCTCTCTCAAGATATATAGGACATTATTATCACCCTAAAGTGTTCCCTTGAGACCTTTGCAGTCAATTCTGGCTAGGTATTATGTAGAACGTCCTGCAATTTGGGTTTGTCTGATGGTTTCTCATGATTAGACTAGGGTTATGTGTTTTTTACAAGAATGCCACAGAAGCGATATGCCCTTCTTATCACATTGTATCAGGAGACACATGATATCATTATGTCTTTCCTGGTGATATTTGTCTTCACCATCTAATTAAGATGTGACTAACAGTTTTCTCCATTGTAAAATTAATACTTTTCCTTTTGCGATTAATAAATATCTTGAAAGAGACACTGAAACTATCCCATAAATATTTTAATTAGCACCATATAAGACCTATATGTTGAATTAGAGAGTGTTGTTTTGTTGAATTTAGTTTTACCAGTCAAGAGCATGGTCTACTTTTACTATTCATCTGTTTTTTTTATTTTTTCTCATTCATGTTTTATTGTTTGTTCTTTAATAAGCATTGATCTGGATTAATGGGAAGACAATGTGATAGAATTTGACATGAGGCAAACCTGGATTTGAATCCCAATTCTCCCACTACCTGGTTAGATGACCTTGCAAAAGGCCTGACTCGCTAATTTCTCATCCATAAAAAGCAGCTAGTAAGAAACTATCTCACAAGGTTTTTGAAAGCATTAAAGCACTGAGTAGTGTTTGGTACTCAATAAGTGCTGGGTAAATGTCATTTCTTGCCTCCTTTAATGACCAAATGTTTAATATTACTGACACAATTGTAAGTAGACTCCTCTTTCAGGCAGGGTGGCCTTAGGATATAGGAATTCAACAGATTCTTTTAGATTTATTTTATGTTTTGACACCACAGAGGCTTTGGCTCGGGAAAAGCAGTGAACTTTTTACATGTCTCTGAGTCACTGGAGAGAAAGCAGCTGGACCTGTTTTAATTGATGACAAATTCTTACAGCTCACCAATATCTCCTGGTAATACCTTTGCAAAACTCCTTCATTGCCATTGGTATTTGGGATTTGATTTTCACTGATGTACAAATATACCATTTGCAAAAGTGGCATTTTTATCTCTATCGCTCCTATATTTCTACTTTTTGTTTATTTTTCTTCTTTCATTATTAGCATTGTTTTAAGGTAGAATTTTAACATGAACAGTCTTGTGTGTTCCTGTTTTTACCCAGAATAAATCTAATATGAGGTTTTTTGGGGAAATATGTACTCTTATCATGTTAAACAAGAGAGAAAACACTGTAACACCTACCCTCCCCAACCCCATCTCTGATTTCTGATTTCTTAAGACTTAAGCAAAACTTTGCTTTCCCTGGTCGTCTTCCTGCTTTTTGGTCTTCTTCCTTTTTTCAAATTTTATTTCCCCTTTTCTAATCTTTTGTTATTTGACATGAGGCAAACCTGGATTTGGGTTTACACTGGATTTTAGTTTAAGCCTGGATTTTATTTTACTTTAAAGATTTTAAGTTCTTTAGGCAGGACGTCACTGTTTCTTTTTTTATACTGATATAGGCTTTAAGGGCAACACATTCTCTAAATGCTGCCTTGGCAATCTCCCAGAAAGTGTTACTGTTGTCAGAAAAGGAGGTCCTGATCCAGACCCCAAGAGAGGTTTCTTGGATCTCATACAGGAAGGAATTCAAGGCGAGTTGTAGAGTGCAGTGAGAAGACACAGTTTTTTGAACACTGCTCAGTTACGGAGTAGGGTGTCCTCAGAAAGCAAGAGGAGGAATGTCTTGCCTTTAAGTTTTCTTATGTAGCAGTCTTATTGTCCATGTAAAAACTAAATTATGTCTACGTGTGGGTGGGCTCACAGCATAACAATTTATTTTGCTGATGTAAAGAAAACTATTTTTGGCATTTTAGTGTGTAAGCACATCAAAGCATGACTATAATCAACTTAAAAGCAGATATTGTTATGTGATATTGGGACATATGGACATTCTGCTGTCATGGGCATTCATCTTTACAGGTGTTATTAAGCTGTTTCCTCAGCCATAAATATCTTTTGACGATGGGCCGTGACTGGCAAGAGATGTGCCTCACTAGTTTTAAGATGGAGCTGATTTTAAAATGATGTCACCCTGGCTCTCTTAGGCTCCTGTTTCTCTAACATTACTCCCATAAAATCAGTCTTACAAATAAATTTTTCCTTTTGTCTCAGGCTCCATTATGGCTTGGCATAGCTCTGTTACTGATCCTGTGTAAAAAATTTTTGAAATTTTGTTCATCATGTTTTTTGTTTTAATTTTTAGTTATTAATATAGTATTTGATTATGGAGGTTTTTTTGATCTCTGAGGCAAGTACCTCTTTCACCTCATTCCAGCCTAGTCCTGGCCTTGTAATAACCTCCCAGACAAGTTCTGCTTATAACTTTGTTTTGATATGGAAACCTGATATCAGAGACACTGAAACTGTTCATATTAAGCCAATTGTACCGCCTGCCAGGAGGAACCGTGATATCCTTTTCTGCTCCTTTCGCCGCCTTCTTACTATATGCCGGACTCTCAGCTCAGCAGAAGTCCTTGTCCATTTCCAGCTGCTGGCATTGAGCACGGCCACATTGCTATTGGGATGCCTGGGATTACTTCTTCATTTAGAAAGGTCAAGGGCCAGGGTCTCATTCTCCAGGAATAAACCTCAGGGGCTATTGAGCTCTGCCAGACCCTTGTCAGGGTCCTTGTGGCCCAAAGCATTCCTTTCTCTGCTGGAATCTGTCAGTTAGCTCTGGCAAAAATCAAGTTTCCTCACCCTGAGCTTACTCCATCCACATAAGTTTCCCTGAGAAATTATGGAAAAGAAACTTGTTCGTATAATTCTCAAACATCAGAGCTGGAAAGGCTCTGAGAGACCATCTTGCCCCAACCCCTTTCATTTAACAGAATATGTAACTTCCTTTGCTCTATTTCCATGTTTTAAGGAATCCCCAAGGCTGCCTCATAATAAAAATCAGGAGCAAGGTAAGAGCTAAATTAATCAAGGAAGTAAACTGCTATGGGACCCAGCTGTGCTCAGGGAGGACTGAGTCATTAGAAATGTAGCCCTGGGACTCAAGATTTGTTTATTAAGAATTTTCTTCAAGGGCAAAGAGAAAGATCTATGATGGCTTAACTACAAAGATTTTCATGGGGTGGAGTGAGACTGAAAAAGGTTCGATGAGCTACCAGCCTGGCTGGAGGGTTTTAAAGGTCCTGCTTTGAAGAATCCTGCTTTACTTCTGTCTGACTGGGTCAGGCATTGTGGAGAAGTTGGCAAAGTTTGCCTGTGTGTCTCTTAACTTCCCCCAAAAAGTGTCTCTCTGGGTCCTGTACTCAGAGGATATGCTTTCAGTTCTGAAATATATCAAGAGAGCACTCATAACTGTGTTAGGGCTGGCATTGAGAGTCACATATCATTTACATATCTGCATTTGTAACAAAATTCACCCTGTGCAAAACACCATCACATGGATTCCTCTAGTTTAACCTATAAACAATGTAAGGGTAATTTTTAGCTACATTTTACAGATGAACAGGCTCAGTCTGCAGGATTGCCTAAGGCCATGTGACTAGTAAGAGGCAAAGCTTTGACTGTTGAGTCCAGAAGGATACCTCGTCCTGTGCTTGTTCTACTAAGCCACAATGCCTCAAGAGTGCCAAAACATGCCGTGAGAGCATACAGCAAATGAGGTAACAAGGGCCGCAGGGTTCAAACCACTTTCTTGATCTGATTTGCAATGAATGCTAGCACTACGATTGACTTATAGGAAACACAGAACAAATCTGGGAACTTACTGTTATTCCCAGAGAAGATTGGGAGATTGCCCCCCCCCAAAAAAAATTTACCCATCCTAGAGGTTTATGTTCTTGGAAACCTTTTCTTTCAGACTGGAAGAAGACAAGGAAATCTCATCAATTGAAGAAAATTCCTTATAAGAAAGCTTTATTCACACACAGGAGAGGATCAGATCCCATTGTAGTTCTGGGTAGTATTTAGCTATGTGCAGTGAACACTTTTGAAGGGTGTGTGTGTAGCAAGGCAGCGTAATGGGTATAGAGTTTCTTCAAGTAAACCAAGAAAGCTGTATCCTTGGGATTAGAAAGGGGATTATCAAGTTAGTTGTGCAGTTCAGGGAGAAATAGGAAGACCCCAGGTGGGAAAACTCTAAATAGACTGCGAATTGAGATTATTTGGACACACCAGATTACTTAGGGACCTTGACATGGGTTATATCCCTGTGTCTTTGGTGCTCAGAAAATAACCCATGGTGAGATCTGAATACAAGTTCAACACTGTATCCCCATTTTTGGAAAATGGACCAATTCCCTTCCCTTGTCTTGGAAATAGCTGATCAAAAAAAACCGATACATTTATTTTTATTTATTTATTTTTAATTCATGCTCTTTCCGTTTGTTGACACCTCTTACATGCCCAGGCAACTGCTCAAGTGTATTAGGAAATACAGTTGGGTATTGTGTAGCCGACTGGCCTCATGGTGGGAGTGCTCTGGCTGGGATGGAATGCTGCTAGGGGGACAAAGACGAAGAGGAGTCAAGGAAGTTGTCAGTTCACAGGCTAGTGAGCAGCCAGTCCAGCAACTGTTTCCTAGCCACGTTTCCCATAGCTTCATCCTGTTGCTGTTCTTTGGCAAACTTCATGACCTCTTGAAGAAGACCTCCTACACTGTACCCCTTTTCTGCTGCTTTAGCTGAAACCTGAGGAAGCTGTGGGGGAAACAGAGCTAGTGTGAGTTGCATGATGCTTTTTGGAGGAAAGACCTGCTGGACAAAATGAATTAACACCCTTCTACCACCCAGCTCCCTCAACCCCTAACTTCTTCACCTACATCTACCACCTTCCCACCTATGATTCTAGGATTAGGGTACAGCATGTCATAGATACAGGACTAGAGGCTGCTGACACAGCTTTCCTTTTTCCTTGAACCTTCTCTAATGACATAGATCAAAATGCCAAAGATATTTTCTTTTTTGAGCTTCAAAAACAAACTCTGAAATTAGTTGTATTCATTAAATACTTCTCACCAGATGCTGGACCCTTCAGTTAGTTTGTGCTGATTGCTAGGTCAAGGTTTGGAGGTTGCCATTCCCCCACTTCCCTAAAAAATATGAGACTTGGAGTAGGGAGGATTGTCTGGCCTTGGCTTCTGGACTGAAAATAACTTGGTTAAGTATTTGATGTTTCTGGAATCCATCTAATGCAGGAAACCCAGCTGTCAGGGTGTGTGTGTGTGTGTGTGTGTGTGTGTGTGTGAGAGAGAGAGAGAGAGAGAGAGAGAGAGAAAATGTACATGTGTACGAACGTATGAATGCTGGCCTCCATGGAATTTGAGGAGCACAGCCAGGACTAGGGTGAGGCAAGTGAGGCACCTAGGACATAAAATTTAAGGAGAAAAGACTCTCAGGATACTTGCGGGACCCATGAGTTTGGGGGAGGAACATAGGGAAAATAATAAGAGACTAGTTTCAAACTGTTTCTGGTAGGTCAAACACAAAATTAGTCCCTGATACTTCCAACACCTCAAGAGGGAGGGAGGAACTCCATTTTCCTTTTCTTTCCTCTCCTCTCTAGAGTACTTGGGGGTCTTTCCTCTCCTCTCTAGAGTACTTGGGGGGATCTTAACTCAAAACATGAGACTTAACAATCATTCCCCAATGTTTCACTAGTTTGTCAAAAGGGTCACTGATGAAATGCGTTAATCTCACTCTCCTCTTCTTGGTGGAAATGCACAGACCTTGAGATGTCCACTTAGCTAGTGGTTCACTATTTTTGTGTCTTTTTATGAGGTGAAAGCAATTCATGAAGCATATGGTAAAGAATAGACTTGAAACTGGAATGATCTTGGGCTCTAAGTACAGTGCTGCCTCCTGCCTCTGCCCATTCCAACTTTCTTCTTATGCCTTAGATGCATTACTTACCTTTTCCAGTTGTCCATCATCATCTTCCATGAAGTAGAGCATGGGCACGTTAAACTGGGAGGCTGCAATCCACTGCAGGACAGCACAGAGCTGCTTTTGCAAGCTATTTGTGGAGCACTGATTATTGACAATTACTTCATGTCCAGGAGAGTCTTGATAGTTCTGTGGCATTGCATTATTGTGAGAGCATCTGGGCTTACTTGTTGAGGCTGCTTGTTCTTCCAACTCAGCGAGGGCTGCCCCATTTTTGGTATACTTAGCCATGATAAGGCAGAGCTTCATCACAGATTCTACCAGTCGATCTATAAAATGCTGGTTCATTTGCTTTATCCCACTGGTAAAGTCAAATTCTTGATGGTCCTGGCATTGTTCTTCTCCTTTATCAGGTCTCTGGGACATGGAAGTTGCTTTGTTTACCTTAGGCTCTGAATGCTTGTTCTCACCTTCACATGGATCCTCACAGTTGGAGCTCTCATTAAGCAGTTTCTGAATCAGCATTAGAACGATGTTTGACATGTCCATTTTCTGGGAGTCTATGCCTTGGTTCTCCTTTAGACTGGTGGATGATCCAGGGTCTCCGTGAGATTCTAGATGTTTCACTGAAAGTGCTTTGGCACTTTGGGCACCTCCACACTTCTCATATTGAGTACTCTGAGCCATATAGCTGGTGGTGGAATCAGGATACTCTTCTTCACATGTATCTTTGCCCCTAGCCTGCTGGGTCAGATGGTACTGGATCAGCTTAAGGGCAGAGACAATCAGGTCCTTGGCCAGTGAATCTGTGGAAGCACTGATCATTTCTCTTTTCTCATCTTTATTGCAGGATACTTTGGTAGCCATCTTCCATGGGTTTCCTTGCTTTTGGTTCCACATGGTCAGGCCCTCCTTGAGGATGTGTTCTCCGACTTTCTCAGCACTAGTGAGTGACTTGCATGGGTCTGATTTCATTTTGCATTTGTCATTCCCTTTCATTTCAGCTTTCATGGTTGAGAGTTCAAGACTCTGGTTATCATATTTGGGATCATAGGACCCAGCTTTTAAAGTTGCATATGACAGACTCTGAGACTTAGTCTCCTTCTTCTCACCAATAAGGGCACTGACCAAGCGCCTCAGCATGGCCTCCATGATGGCTGCAGCATTTTGTTTCCCATAGTTGAACAGATTTCTCTTGACAGCCGAGACAAAGTCTGAGTCAGTCATCAGGACCCCAGTAATAGTATGTAGGTTCTTCATGCAGGAATCAATCAAATCAGACACAATTTCCTTGGTATGCTTTAGCAACACCCTCTTCAGGATCACACATGCTGGAATTGGCTTCCCAGAGCTGTGCACTTTCAAGGTCTTCATGGTGGAGAACATCATGTCAGTTGCCACCTGATTTGCATAAACCATAAATCCCTTGCTGATGGAATCTGCAAATTCTTGGCTATCTCTCTGGCATATCTGTTTGTCTCCACTTTTGTTTTTGTTGCATAGTTCATTATATAGAAAGCTTCCTTGCACTCCTTCCTTGCACTCCTCCTCAGTGCCACACAGTTCTGCAGCAGTCAGTTCCATGGCTTCATGGGCCATTTCAGAAGCAATCTTGCTCACAGTAGGGGATGGAACAATGGAATGATGAAGGCATTTGCTTCTACCTTCCAACTTATCCATGATTTCCTTACGGGCCATCTGGATTACCAGAAAAGATAGTCGGTCGACATAGAAGGAAAGATCATCCAAAGAACATTTTCCATCAGGGGAAATGACTGCTCTCTGAGTGCTAAGAGATTTGGCTGAAGGACTTTGATTATTGTTGGTGTTTTTAGCTGCTGCCATCTCTAGCTGTAGGTTTTGAGGTCTGTTCAGCAAATCTATGTTCACTTGATCGGTATAGACACTGTAGCAGTTCCCAGAGGATGGTCTGTTATATCCGTCCTCTGTGTCTTCTACTTTATGTTTACAGTTAGAAGTTGAGGGGCTCAGTGCATGTTGGAAACCCAAGGCATACTTTTGGAGATCACTGAGAAGCCAGTGGAGGACACTTATGGGATCAGAGGAATCTTGTTTGAAAAGGCACACAGATCCCTCCGTCTAAAAGAAGAAGAAGACCTATCCATAAGAGTTTGGGTAGGTGACTTCTTTTCATTATTTTATTTAGAATATACATATAGAATATGCAGATTAGGGATTTGACCTTTTAGAGTTTGTGTGGGAACATAACATTCAGTTATATCCATTAATACACATTCAAGCAGAAGTGGCAACAACAAAAGTTCAGACTATATACATGTGTATACTTTATACAAGTGTTATCAATACATGTCTGCCAATGCATATGAATATGTTGTATCTCAATGTGTCAAAAATGTGTCAGAGTGTCTGCTGTGTGTGTATATATGCATGGAAATATGGCAAATCACATGTGTGAATATCTCAGTACATGTGAGAATGTGCCATTCTGTATTGTTAGTGTATGAAAATGTGCCTCTGTGTGTGTGTGTGCAGATGTGTGACTATGTGTAAGCATGAATAATAAAATATGAGTGTCTATGTCAGTGTGTCACTGAATATGTAAATGAGCAAGTGTCAATTTGAGTAATCTGCATATATGTGTATAAGATAAATTCACTAGTATGTATCATGCAGTTATAAATGCATTTACATATGTTAAAGCATAAATTCATATATTAACATACAATTTCATTAATAGATATAATTTTAATATAGTAATATGCATATGTTAAAATATGAACATGCATAAACAGATGATTGCATAATGACTATATATGTTATGTCAGTGCTTGACAATGTGTGTGTCAATGTTATCCATACCCTGGCATTTGAGTATGTGTGTGAGTAGGTGTGTTATTGCATTTGTGTCAACAGTATATGTATTAATGCATGCAAACAAGTGCATTAGTAAATATGTGTCACTTTGTGTAAGTTTGTGTGTATATCAGCATGACTGTATGACCATATACGTCTTTGCATAGATATGTATATTTGTGTACATATGTATATATGTATATGTTTATGATATATATGTATACAGACTCAATACCTGAGTCTGTATGGTCACTGTGTTTTGATCAAGCCTTATGCATGCCATGTGTATGAATGTATGTTCATGTATTGTGTAATAAGGGTGTTTATGTGTGTCATGTGTGGGCATGTCACTTCATCTGACTCTGTATGACTTTTATATCTTTGGATATGTGTGTCATTGTTTATGTTATGCTTGTTATGCTTGTGCGTGTCAATATCAAATGTAGCCAAGCATGAATTTATCATTACTTGTATAAATATAAATTTTTTGTAAATATATATAAATGTATACATTGATGTGTGTATCATTTTGTATAAATTTATATGTGTATATCCATGCCTGTGACTGTGTATACCCATGTCCAGATATATGTATATGTACTATAAACACATATTCAACCCAACACTAACTACCAAGCTCTCTGCTCCTTCTATTGCTTCATCTCCTCTCTTTTCACTGAATTTCTAGAAATGTGAGGCCATGATAAAGGCAACTTTTTGCAAAGAAGCTTAAGTTATAATCAAGGAGATCTGCATTGTATGTAGGAAATATGGGCTGCTTTTTCAAAAGTTAATGCCAGGTATAATTTATCCCTTTCTTAAGACTCCAAAATTGAGTTGGCCATACCCAAGTAAACTGAAAATTCTTTGGATACTGCAATGTAAACTTGTTTTTCCTTTCTTGGGGGCCACTCCTTTTGCTCCAAAGGAGTCTGGGGCTGGAAATAATGTTTTGGTATAATATGAGCCTAGAGATACAGAACAAGAAACATTTGACTCCTTTGCACTAAAGTCTAATATCCTGTCCCAATACCAGCCACTCCAGTCTTGTATGCATGTGAGGGTGACTTGTTGTGTGCTCCAGTGCACTCCACAAGCCAGGAGCCTAACAGATATAATTTTGGATACTTACACAAAACCAAAAGGAGTCTGTATGTGATAGTGGCATGCAAGACTAGTTGCTTCTAATTTTAAGCTACTCAACAGGCTAGGTAATCTCTTAAACAACAGGGTAAGGATGAGGTACTCAAATTCTTGGTGGTTATGGATTGCCTCTGCTCCAATCCCTCTTTCTTCCTTACTGGATGCTGGGCAATGTGGGGCACCCAGATCTATTACCAGCCAGCAAAGATTGCAAATAGTCTTGTATGATTCCGATTGGATGGGTAGCTGGAAATCAGGAAAGGGCATTCTGATCCTCTGTGATTAGTGCCATTATTAAGTACCTGGGTATTGAACTTACTGTGGCCTTGAACTTAGGTCTGTGCTCTTTAGAATGTCATAGTATTCAAATTGATGAGCCTGTTTAACAATACTTGTCTTAACATGTCTGACCCAGAGTCCTCAGATTCATCACTGAGCTGAGAATTAGAAGTGGTGGAATGTCAGAGGCTACGTGTACCTTAGACTGGTCTTTCTTCTCAGCATCCTTGATCATAATAATCTCTTTTTCTTCCATATTTTCCAGGTTTAAGCTGTCTTGTGAGCTGGAACCAGAAGCATCCTATGGAATTAAAGTGTGAGATCTTACACAATTGCTTTGAAGAATGAGATGAAGTTCTCTCCACAAATTACTACTCCCCTCTCTGAAGATGCTCACAAAGCCATCAGTCTCAAGAACCATATTCATCATCCTTTGGATGTGGTTTTTAAAAAATGAATAAATAAAAAACAACTTTTCAGACATACTACCTTCCATGTGTTATCTCTTTCAGCCCTACCAGCAACTTAAATGGCTTCTAAAATGAGACTTGTTATCAAGAGTGACAGTAAATTCAGACCAGGGATCTTGGGCTCATGAGACTGCTGGATTTCCCCCTGAATCCCCTCCACCTTTCCCCTCACTCCCCCAACACTTTCCATTCTTCATACTTCAGTGATAACCCTTCTCAGCAATTTCCCACCCATTCTGACTCTGAGCAGAGAATACACACCTTGCAGTCTTTATCTTCTACATTCACGGTGGACACATCAACAAAGCATACCTGCATCAAATTAGGAGGGTGAATTTAGAAAAACTCTTGAGAAAGGGACATAATTTCTCTTTCTTGAAGATGATAATAGCACCTACCTCATAGGGTTCTTGTGAGGATTAACTGAGATACTGTATGGAAAGCATGTAAAAGCAGATTGCCTGGCACAGAGTAAGTACTCAATAAATGTTAATACTATGATTATTGTTAGGCAGACAGAATCTCAGCATTAGTACATCTCTTAAACGAGAATACCAACCTGTCAGAGTAAGGCCCAAGGTACAATATCCATATATATTAATTGAGAAAACTAAGAAGAGAAATGGCTTGCCCAACTAACACAAAAAGGTGGAGCGTGTATTAGAACTCAATTTTCCTGGCTTCCAGTTTAGGGCACTTGCCACTACACTAATGTTTCTCAAAATTTACTTTATTATCAGTGATATAGACTAGTTTAAGTAGTATGTGGATAAACATTTCTGCATTTAATAGGTGTATTTTTATTGTGTTTTAGGGAGAATACACAATAGAACATCAAACCTGGGATATTATGGATAATATTTCTTAGCATGATTGTCATTTAAAAAATGTAAGTCAATTTTTAAAACATGGTAAAAATACATATTAATTAAATAATAGTATGTGTGGCATTTGAACATGATTAAAAAATGTGAAGCCCTATGTAATTACTTGAAGTTTGGGAAACAGACCATGAAGCATTTTTCCCTCCTGAGGGGTGCTAAGGTAACACTGTTACCTAGGCAATGTTATTATGACTTAACAGGCTTCACTGATAGGGGCTGGTTGCTAGGCAACCACCACTCCTCTCTCCCCTCTGGCTCCTCCCCAGCATCCCCTCCCCAGGTCCTTTACATCACACCTCACCCTGCCCCTCCCTTGATTTTTATCTCTGTGATGTATGAGCATGGTGGCCCCTGACAGATCTCGTTGAGCTTGGCTGCTTGGAGAAGTCATGGTATCATCGTCCATTAGTTTAGTTTAGGCCCCAGGATATCTATACCTATATGTCAATTTTTCCTACTCCTCGGCAGGAGTCATTTTCTATCTTACCACTTTCCGGTCCTGATCTTGCTGTTCTGCTGGTTTGTAGAGGTCTACCTTGCACATACTCCTGGAGCTGTGTAACCAGTCAATATCATCAAACATCTGGAAAGAGAAAGAAAAGAAAACTGAAATTCTTATATATGGTTTTTGGAAACTGGGTCAGTTTGGATAAGAATCTCTAGAGGGGGTTCTAAAACCTATTTCTGTGTTTCATATATAGATTTAGGCTAGGAACTGGTGAAGTGGGCAGTAGGGGACACATTAAAATGTTTGAACTTGACACTCAGGATCATTATCTTTTAGTGAAACCCATAGTCTCCTTTAATTTAGACTCCCCACACCCTACTTCTACCCAACTCTACTAACTAAATCTCTCTGATCTCCACATTTCTTTACCCACTTTTGAGTACCTTCAAAAAACCCCAGCTCACCCTCCCCTATCTAACTTAATTCTAGCTAACTCCAGTTCAACCAGTCTTTCCTGTTATACTAAAAAAAGTAAAATTAGATAAATATCTGTAACACATCACCCAAAGCCATTGGAAAAGACTAAAGTCAATAGCAGTAAATAAATAGCCCTTTTATTAAAACAACATATATAATTTCAACATATAGAACAAGATTCTGAATGCTGAGAAAACCCAGTCTAATAGCCATAAATATAACACCAAAAGACAGCAATCTGAGGGAAGACCAGACCCTGATACAATAGGATCAAGTTTAATTTATTTTATAAAGAAAAAATAATCTCTACCAACTTCCTTCCACTACCACCCCGCCACCACCTCCCAATCCAGTCTGGAAATAAAAGTGAAAAGGAAATGACAGAAGCCAGTGACTGATTTTTGCTACATAAGACATGAGATTTATGCTCAGAACTCACAGTTAATTGCTGGGTAGACTTGTCTTGGTATCTGGAGCTTGAATTTGATTTCTTTTTAAAATTTAACAAGATAAATCCTTTTTGCCAAGTATTAGAGGGCTATTGAATTCCCCCTGCCACCTACCCTTCTCTCCCCTCCCTTCTGCCCTTCCCCCTTCCTATCTCCTTCCTCCCCTATCCTCTCTCCCCCCTCCCCTCCCTACTTTCCCCCATCTCCAGTCTCCCCTTCCCCTCTCCTCCCTCCCTTTCCCCTCTCATTCCCTCTCTCCCTCTCCCCTTTCTTCCCCCTCCCTCCCTTTCTCATTCTTCCTTCCTCCTTCTTCCCTTCCACCCCTTCTCTATTCCCCCACAACATATTAATAATAGCTATTCTCTAATGGCTATCTTTTCATATGATAATAATACATTCCTGCTTTTTATCATCCCTGCCTCCAACCAAGATCTTCTTGAACTCTTCCTTCAGGAAGCTCTGTGAAACCTTGAAAAAGTCATAGGAAAAGACTCCTACACACTCAGACGAGGGAGTTTCTTTTTTTCCAAGAGCTACATAGAGAACACTAGCCTACTAAAAAAAGGTGGAGGCATAGAGTCCCTTATGTGATTCAGATACAGCCTAAGTCCAAGTCCAAAAGAACTGTGAGAAATAAAATTTATGAACTCATTACCTTGATGATGAAGTTCTTTTAGACGTTGGGCTGAAAATGTGCCACCCAGAAGGGAGATGTGCCCCTTTAGATGGAACTGAGAAGTGCCAAATTTTTGGGCACCCGCAGCTGGCTGCCACCCCTGTCAGCTGTTGAACTAGACTGAGGGCCCAGGCTTTCCCCTGCTGCCTTTGACCATGGGGTGTGGCAACAGGGTTTGTTGGGTCACAATGCCTGAAACCATAGCAACCTGACCAAAGGTGGGCATGTTGGCAAACTCAGTAACCTATTCCCATCAAAAGCACATCAGGCTGTCTGCTATGGGACAAACTTTTTCTGTTATCTCTATGAGGGTACACACATTTTTCTCACATTTTCTCCAGCTCACAGTCCGTCAAGATATCCCTTCTCTTTTTATTTCTTGCTAGTCCTCCAGAACAATGTAATCATATCCCCACTAGAGAATCAGAAGTTATGTGGCAAGAGATCTTTAGATTTACATAGAAACAGAGAAATCTTGATCCAAGTCTCTTTTCTGGGTATCCCAAATAAAAGTATGAAAATAGAAACTTGGGAGGCTGCCTTAGCAGCTTCTGTAGTTTCACCTCACCATTAAGATGCCCCCTTAGCTATTCAGAAAGAAGTCAGATGTCCCTACCATTGCAGTATCAAAGCACGCCATCATGTAGGACCCTTGAATGATGTTTTCTTGTCAATTTGGATGCTGCAATGATTCTTCCAGTCTGCCTCAAGATGCTGGTCTTTTCTTCAACTCTCCATGCCCTCCTAAAGCCTTGACTGCCAGCTGGTACCAGAGCTACTTCTTGATGACATCACTGTTTCTATAGAGAACAGTGACAGCACAATGTTGGAGGGCTCTAAGGATTCCGTGTGCTCTAAGTGGTCCAGCAGGCCTTCCCTGTGAGAAATAAGTAGTCCAGAGAAAAGCTGATCTAGTTGAGACAGGATCTGTCCTTTACAGACTCCTTAGGCCATGAAAAGACTTAAGCGTCACTTAATCTTTTCCATCTGGCCAGTGCTGGTTTGTCGGTTTCAGTATGTGTTAGAGGATTATCCATTACACTTTGAGATGCCTTCATCTCATCTCACTGAGTTTAGCCCCAGTTTGGAAACATTATCCCACAACCAAATGGCTCTCACTGTGCCCAAGTGTCATCTTGTCTTTCCTTGTTTCTTCTCCACGTCTCCACTTTAATAACTGCATGCATGTAAATAAATGCATCTAAATTAACAATCAGTTTAGATGATCCCCTAAAAGAGTTTCATCTTCTTAGTTCTAGCTCCACTTATTCTTTTTCCTGTTGCCCCTGAGATTTCATCTTCTAACTCTGCTATATGATTTTGATCCTGTTAGTTCATGGCGTTAAAGAGAAACAGCCAAGAGTTTGTTAGAGGTGGCAAGACAGATTTTATTCAGGCCATTGTATTAGAAAAGAGAGACTTCTGATGAACAGATCTCAACTCCACTGAAACAAAAGACAAGGTGTGCTAAGGAAAGGTACTGAAGGACATTGAGTAGGGGTGAACTTGGTCAATGTATTGGAGCATCTGTGCTTGCTAATGGGTGCTTATTAAAGTTAGGCTCCCTATGTTCACAATATCAGATTTATACAGAAAAATGTAATTAAGACCTATAAAAAAAGAAATGAAATAAACTATAAAAAAGTGAAATAAAAAAAGAAAGTAAAATAAAAGAAAAAGAAAAGAAATTTAAGCTCTTACCTTCCCATAGAGACATGGAGACACAGACCCTATTTTTCTTGATCATTACATTACAAAGGGATGGCTTCCAGGTTGTTGAGAAAGACAGTCCTGGATTGTAGAAGATACATCTTAAATGAAGAGAGAAAGAATTTACAATTGCAAGTTTTCTAAAGTACATGCTTTAAGGAAAGGGAGTCAGGGCCCATAGTCAGGTTTTGGCCTGAACAAACAGTACATTCTTTTGGCAGCATTGAGCTGTCTCAGGAAGGCATTTTAAGGGGGGCTGGGAAACTGACACAAGAACAGAAAACCAAACACCACATGTTCTCACTCATAGGCGGGTGTTGAACAGTTAGAACACGTGGACACAGGGAGGGGAGCATCACACACTGCGGTCAGCTGCGGGGGGGGCTAGTGGAGGGACAGCGGGGTGGTGGGGAGGGTGGGGAGGGATAATGTGGAGAGAAATACCAGATATAGGTGATGGGGGGATGAAGGCAGGAAACCACCTTGCCATGTATGTACCTATGCAACAATCCTACATGATCTGCACATGTACCCCAGAACCTAAAGTACAATTTTAAAAAAGGGGGGGCTGGGAATGTCATCCCAGGGAAATGGCCTTTGGCAGCATTGAAATGTCTCAGGAAGACATTTTATTTTTATTTTTATTATTTTTTTTATTGCATTTTAGGTTTTGGGGTACATGTGCAGAACATGCAAGATAGTTGCATAGGTACACACATGGCAGTGTGTTTTGCTGCCTTCCTCCCCTTCACCCACATTTGGCATTTCTCCCCAGGCTATCCCTCCCCAGCTCCCCCCTCCCACGCTCTCCCTCCCCTATTCCCCCCATTTTAAGGGGGCTGGGATTGTCATCCTAGGGAAATGGCCTTGAGCTGATAGAAACTATGCTAGTGTTTGTTCAGGTCTCTTAGTGTGTGTATGTGTCCAGGAGTGAGTGGATGAAATTGTGCTGAAAGTTGCAGTACTTATAGGCCGAAGTTGAGGCCTAGCTGAGAAGTGGGCTCAGAGAAGCCTGACTAAACTTTGGTCATGAAGAGGGTCTTTGTCAATGGTGATCAGCTAAAATCCATAAAACATCACTGCTTTTTCCTATACCATCCTTTTGTCAAGGGGCAACTTTTGATGATTAAAGACAAAGTTGGAGCTCCTGTGTCTGGCTCATCTCTGTGGAATATGAAGCAAAGGAAGAAAACGTTTACATATTCTCCAAGTACAAGAAATCGTATCTCTGAGAGATTAAAAACAAAACCAACCAACCAACCAAACAAACAAAAAACTCTGTGTCTCCCAGCCCAGAAAGGAACAACCATGATTCATGCCTGGAAAATGTCTTAGTAATCCCCAAATGACAAAGAGAGAACTACTATGAATGATTAGAGCACTCTCCCAGGGCACCTGAATCCTGTCATTCTGGAGGCTAACCAGGAGCAGCATTTGGATGTGAAACCAATGAGGAAAATGTAAGGGAGAATCAAGGCAGACCTGGCTCAGTCACAGGTCACAGTACATTTACTGCCTCTTCTTTCTCTTAATGAGACTCTCAAATTGTTCTGTACTGAGTAGAGGGGCTGAGAGGCGGGTGAGGGACAACGGATGTTCAAACAGTCAAAGTAAGGAATATACTGTATTAGTGTGGGAATGTGTGTGAATAGTCTGCACTTAAGTTAGTCTTTAAGAGCCAAATATAGAGATATTAAACACAAAAGCCTTGGTCATAATTTTTTTCTATTGTCTATTTTGCAACCTTGTTTATTCTACCCAAACATCTCTTTCACACAAACTTGTGAATAATAGTGCAAATCAACACTTAAATACACTCTCAGTTTTCATTTGGCTAGGAAAAAAACTATGAAGATGATAAAAATGGGACCTGTGTTTATAATATAATTACCACGAATAAATGACAAAAGGAAATTAAATGAAGTGGGCCATCAGCCTTCATGAAATCACTATCTGTCTGGTAATCTTGCTGGGTATCTTCCAGCCTGAGATTTAGCCTACCTTTTATGTGATGACACAATGACCATTTAGAAAATGGGCAGTGATGCCAGTGATCATCAGACATCATTTGCTGTGGACCAATATAACTGGGAACACCATTTCTTTTTCTCCTGAACTGTTTTCCTGCCATGAGAGTGCAACGACATTTAGAGCAGCTTCATACAAACATACTAAAGGAAATAATTAGTCACATTGAACATTTTGGCAATGGTACTGCATAATTACTTCTGTCAAGTATCTGTGTTTTGTCTGCATTGTACATATTTGTCCTTTCCTATGAGTGATTGGAGGAGTGGAGGGGGAAGATAAAGGACTTTTAAAGTCTATAAACATTATAAAAAATTTAAGGGGACAACTGCTAACGATAAGTGGAGTCTTAGGTATGTTGGAGGTTCTTTCATAGGCAGGGGCTTAATTAGGCAGCTAAAGTTCTGTTCCATAACCTTATGGTAGAAAATGACTTATGGGTAATTTTGAGGGATGAGCTTGGCTTGGCAGTGATTATTTATGGTCAGGCTCTTCCCTTTTATAATTATGAAATTTCCTTCCCCTGATTTCCTAGAACATTTGTTTATTGTCAGGATAATTCATTTGACATTTACTAAATCTGGCCTTGTAGAGTTAATTACCTTTTTCTATTCCTAGATCACCTACATTGCAAGCCTAGAAGGTTTTCTATTTCTTTTTCATTGCATCCACCACAATACCGGACACGCAGCTGGGCTCGAGACACAAGTTTTTTGGAATTTTTAGGGCAGGAAACATAATTCAGAAATCACAGCATCATGGGATCTGTAAACAGGACCAAAAATCTTGGTTAGCTATCTGAGTGGTCAGGCTTCTTCACTATTCTTGTGAATAATAGTGTGAATCAACACTTTAAATACACTCTCAGTTTTCATTTGGTTAGAAAAAAACTATGAAGATAATAAAAATGGGACCTGAGCAATAATTGTCACACTTTAGCGTGCATCAGAATCACCTGGAGGGCTTCAGTTTCTCATTCTGCGGGTCTGGAATGGGGGCTGAGAATTTGCCTGGTACTGTGTATTACATGCATTATCTCATTTAATTCACGCACAGCATTATGAAATGCCTACCACTTTAATTATAAATGACTAGCTGGAGCGCAGAGGCCACGTGACTGGTGGGGGGGCTAGGTAGGCACTGGCCACTTCCATCGTCCTAGGGGTGGGGGGGGGGCGTGTGTGTGTGTGTGTGTGTGTGTGTGTGTGTGTGTGCGTAGATTAGCTTTTCTTTCTTTCAGGGTTTGGATATCCAAAAGGGAAATTCCCTGAGAAAAAGTAGAAAGATACCTACTCTGATCTTCTGGCCCCATCTGGTGGTTTCAATACTGACTGGAAAAGAAAAAAAAAAAAAAAAGCACTGATTCGTGATCTCCCCCTGCTGGTGAGAGTGGTGGGGTCAGTCCAGCCGCCTCTGGTACCGGTTATTCTGAGGTGCTTTTCTGTTGAGGCCGTTATTCTGAGGCAGCTGGGCTGACGCGGTTAGTCCCCTCTCCTTCTGTCCGTTATCTGTATTGATTGGTTTGGTTTCGTATTGTTTTCTTTCAGTTTTCGATTGGTGGAGAACTTTCTGCGAATAGCTTTTGTTCCAGTCCATCTGTGGCTTGTTAAAGGGTCAACATGTCTTGTCAGTCGTGACGAGAGCTTTTTGCCTTATATATTGATTATATATTATAAATATAGAAATATATCCTGCGTCAGGCTGGAGGTGTGGGAGGAAAACTGGCTGAGGGAACTAGCCTTTAATTAGTTTATTTCCTTCCGGTCAACCAACAAACTTGTTTGGAACATCTGACAAAATAACCTTTAAAAAGTACTTCAGACCGGGCGCGGTGGCTCACGCCTGTAATCTCAGCACTTTGGGAGGCCAAGGCGGGCGGATCGCCTGAGCTCAGGAATTCGAGTCTACCTTGGCCAACATGGCAAAACCGTCTCTGCTAAAAATACAAAAATTGGCTGAGCGTAGTGGCAGGCGCCTGTAATCCAAGCTACTAGGGAGGCTGAGGCGGAAGAATGGGTTGAAACTGGGAGGTGCAGGTTGCAGTGAGCTAAAATGGCGCCACTGCACTCCAGCGTGGACGACAGAACAACAGTTTCAAAAGAAAAAAAAAAAAAACTTGGTCGGGCGCAGTGGCTCAC